TCCAGAGGCCCCCAAAGTTTAGAAGAAGTTCTAGGGGAGCTGAGCTGATGGGCTTCTGAACCTCATTAGCCAAGGAAACTTTAACTAATAACATTTGAGTTTTTATTTGTTGAAGGAATTGTTATATTCTGTTTTCGAGCTGCCTCTTCTTTCCTACGGCTTTTTTCAGCTCTCAACCTCTACCCAAAGGATAAAGAACAATGTTTTCTTGTCAGGGTAGTGACTAGTGATGCTGCAACACAAGGCCCCAGGGACTGTGGCTGAGTGATTGCTAAAATTCTCTGTGCGTACTCATCAATAAAAATGTTGTCTACATCTTCAGTGTATGGATATTTATGTATAAATATATAAATAGTACAATTTTATTAATATATAACTGGTAAAATGGGCCCTCCCAAATAGAAGATTAAAAAGGATGAGGAAAAAAAAAACAATAGAGGTTCTGTTTCTTTCTGTACTCTGAGGAGGGTCTCTTTGGCAGCTACTGCTTCAGAAGATGGCTTTTCCTTGAAATTGGATTTGAGGAAAGAGCAAAGATTGATTTGGGATTGTTTTGGCTGCAGGCCTCTTTCTAATTCCAGTTGTCATCTTGAAGCTTCAATGAGGTGTAGGTTATACAGGGAAAGGCAGGACCTGGCCATCAGTGGGAGAGGTGCCTTTATGTGGAAGGCTTACTGCCCTCACTTTATTGGTGTGTCAATGTAGATTGTACCGGGCACAGCACCAGGAGATAACAAGGGGAGTGAGACACGTCTTAAGTCCCCACCTCAGGAAGCTCATCTTCTAGGGCAGACTCTGGAGCGTGGTGTAGGCTGAAGTGGACTAAGACTTGGCATAGTGCCTGGGCCTGCTGCCAAAGTGCTCACTCTTGCAACCCCAGCCTGACCTGCAGTGAGCTGCTGGAAGGAGGGGGACAGAAGAAAGCACCTGGCTGAGGGGGTGTGTAGTATTCAAAAGGGAATTTGGTGGGAAAGAATTTGGTGTGGTTTTATCTGGACTCTCCTAAGACCCCTTCCCTGTCCGCCAGTCTGTGCAGCCATAGATAGAATTGAGCCATGAGCACCCACATGGGTCCAAATCTTGCTCCTTGGTGACCCAGATAACATTACATTGTTATTTACCTGGTAACTGTCACATATTTGGGGCTCCAGAGTACACTCAAATGCTATGAAACCCCAATTCTAAAAGTCAGTCTGTTTCTGAACTTCATAATAATCAAAAAAGAAGTTGCTTCATGAATCAATTTTAAAGTAATCAAGCCATTCCATAATAGAGGGTTACATATAGACTTTACAGAGCTCAAGAGTCATATAATTTCATGGAATTATTTACAACTAAGGCAGACTAATCAAAGAAGTATATTCACTTAATAGAAAACTAGAAGGGAACTCCCCTGGTGGTCCAGTGGTTAAAAATCCACCTTCTAATGCAGAGGACGCAGGTTCAATCCCTGGTCGGGGAACTAAGGTCCCACGTGCCGCAGTGCAACTAAGCCCACACGCCGCAACTACTGAGCCCGTGCACTCTAGACCCCACGTGCCACAACTAGAGAGAAGGCTGCGCGCTGCAGCAAAGATCCCGCGTGCCGCAGCTAAGACCTGACACAGCCAAATAAGTAAAATAAGTAAATAAATAAATAAATAAGTAAGAACAGTAGAAGACAACTACCCTAGTGTTTGCCCACTGTGTACCAGGCGTTGCTGCCTTCCAGAGCTAAGGCCAAGGTGTCTACATTGTACTTAATCTTAGGCAGGTATGATTTGACCTTTTACTTCCCCAGATACCAAGCAGTTATAATCTGATCTGACAGAAATTATGTTGAGATTTGAAAAAAATCTAGTTAGTTTATTTAAAGGCAATATTGTTTTCTATTTTGAAGATACTGTATCTCAGTTCCCATTGCAGAAGCACCCTGAACATACTTCCAGGCATAATCTCCCAACATGCGGGTACCTTTATGTGAAGGGGATGCTTAGCCAGTGTGGGAGGAAGGAGGGGATACAGCTGAGTGACTATTGGCACAAGAGCCTAGGCTGCAAGATTAGAAATACCTATTTCTCTGATGAAGCCAGCCTGAATGCAAGAGAGATCACAAGAGGACAGCAAATGAGGATGTGAAAGCAGTTTCTTCTGATGTTAGCTGTAATGCTGGAACGGCTCTGGTGTTGCCTGGTGGAAGCACGTGTTTAGCTTAGGTTGTGCACATGATAGCCGATGAACTTAGATGTGCTCTGCAAGATAAGCCTCTCCTCACCTCTGTTTGAACTTACTCTGTCTTTCCTTGTCATAAGAATAGAGTTGAAATGTGCCCTGGGTTTGGGTCTCTCTGTTCTTGTATCCCTTTGCAAAGAGATACCACTTAATCTCTTAAGAGATTCTGCAATAAACAACATCAAAATTTAGAAACTTGGGGGCTTCCCTGGTGGCGCAGTGGTTGAGAATCTGCCTGCTAATGCAGGGGACACGGGTTCGAGCCCTGGTCTGGGAAGATCCCACATGCCGTGGAGCAACTAGGCCCGTGAGCCACAACTATTGAGCCTGCGCGTCTGGAGCCTGTGCTCTGCAACAAGAGAAGCCGCGATAGTGAGAGGCCCGCACACCGCGATGAAGAGTGGCCCCCGCTTGCCACAACTAGAGAAAGCCCTTGCACAGAACCAAAGACCCAACACAGCCAAAAATAAATAAATAAACAAATGTGGGGTTTAAAAAAAATAATAAAGGTTGGCCCAGTTTAAAAAAAATTTAGAAACTTGGGCCATTGGATAATTTCCCTTACTGGAGAAATTAGAAAAGAAGCTCCAGGGGAAGCCTAGAACAAATTATCTGTAGCAAAAATCCAGTTTTATTTGTTTCCCCAATCCACTGCAGAGCAATCTCTTTTGCCAAATACAAATTACTGGAAAAATTAAAAGAAAAAAACCCAATAAATTCAAGCCCAAATTTTAGATTCAACAGAGTTAAAATTACTCTGTGGAATTGCTATAAAATTCCTAAATGTTTTTTCTCATTTCTGTACTTACTGTGACCAGGGCTTACATTGGACTGCAGACCAGATGTTGAGTTTAGTAAGATATAGGGAATGAATAATTTCAGATGGGACTTGCAAAGACACTTAGATACAAAGTACTGTAAGCAAGATCATCAGGGCATAAACTTTGGAAATAGCTACAAAGCCCTATACTAAGTTGTTCATCTGTGTTAATTTTTTAGAAGCTGAAGGGTATAGCAATGATCAAGACAGAAAAAGTCCCTTTTCTCAGAGTGAGATAAGGATAGAAAATAAGCATAAATACTTGGAAATTATTCATAGTAATAAATAATAGAAAATAAACAGTAATGAGATAGATAGTGGAAGGGGAATGGGACTATTTTAAGTATACTAGTGTAAGAAGTCTCCCTGAGGAAGTTACATTTATGCATGTATCTGAAATGATAACAGTCATATTCAGAGACCTGCAGGAAGAACATTTTAGGCAGAGGACAGCAAATGCAAAGGCCCTGAGGCAGAGGTATCTGACACTACAAAGATAGAAAGGAGCTAGTGAAGAGAGCAGTATTGAAAGTAAGTCGACATGGCCAAAGTCAACCTTGGGCATCATGTCATGTGATACTGAACAAAAGAAGAATAAATTATGGAAGTGTAGATAAGGAAAGTGGTTTCATGGGTAGCCCAAAGGTGAAGTTGTGGGAACAGGTGAGTTGGGTTGCAGCTGGGGAACATGCAAGACCAAGGAAAATCAGAAATATCATCCTGGTGTATGGGGAGGAGGGGAAGAGGGGCCTATTTCTTGTGTAGAAGATGATGGATGAGGACCCTGGGAGGAATGGGCTTTGGAGAAAAGGGCCTGGCCTCACAGGCAATAAGGAAGGCATTGAAGGGAGCAGAGGTTGGTACCTGGAGCGGGGGCATAGAGACAGTGTTGGGTGGGTTTTGTCACACTGAATGCAACAAACACTCTGAAATCACCTTGGCATTCAAACGACTTGGAGATTAACACAGAGTGCAGCACATTCATGTTTGAATAACTGGCTTCCTGTAATAGGAAAAGGAGTTCTTTGATTGTTAAGTGATTTAAGTTTGTCTTCTGAATATTGCACCTCCTATTATACTTTCTTTCCTGCTCTCCATCCACCCAGCTCTTTTACCTAAGATTTAAAGGACATTTTTTAAAAAAGTGATAATTGGATACAGTAAGGTTTTTAACAAAACAGACCAACTTGACAAACTATTTAGGAACAAGATACTACTGTGTACCATCCCAGCCAAACCTGGGGTTACTAAAGCAGGTCAATCCCTGGTGGGGGGGGGAATATATATATATATAAAATTTGGGGTCAACTAACTGCAAAAAAGAAAGTGATGCCCATGAGTTCAAACTTCAACTGCAGTTTATTTTCCGACATTTAGAAAACTAGGGTGAATTTTTGCAGTTTTGCAGTATCCAGATAGTTTCAAAAGCACCAGTTCTTTTTGAGATTGGAATTTTGCCCACCTTGTTACTAAGGTGCAGGCTCAAATTGAAGGTCTGAGTGAAGGATCCTACTTTATTTTTTAGACTTAAAAAATATTTGTGTGTATATATAGAGGTATCCTAAGAATAATATGTCCATAAGCTGTTAGAACTAAAAGGACACAAATAAAATTTGCCCCTTTGATTCTTTAACAGAAGAAGAAATGGAGGTGTTATAACTTGCCCAAGGTCACACAGGTAGTTAAGAGCAGAGCTGAGACTAGAGCTGGGACTAGCCTAGTGATGTTTAGCACTTATTGCTTTTATCGTGTGACTCCTTAGCCTTTCATATTCCAAATGCTAAAGCTAGGTTGTAAAGTAGCATATTTTCTTCTAGTATTAAATTTATAGAAGTAGATATAAATTCCTGATTAAATCTCCTTTCTGGGTAGTGTATGTACAGATTTAATTATCCTGTCTCTGAAAATATTTCAACAACTAACTGAATTGGGAAGTGTCTCACATTTGATGTTTTGTTTTGGCATTTAGGTTTTCCTAGAACATTAGTTCAGGCCGAAGCCTTGGACAAAATATGTGACCTGGACCTAGTGATCACTTTGAACATTCCATTTGAAACGCTCAAAGATCGTCTCAGCCGACGCTGGATTCACCCTCCTAGTGGGAGGGTGTATAACCTGGACTTCAACCCGCCTCATGTACATGTAAGAATATACAAAATACTTTCGCATATTGACAAGAAAGAGGTAAAACATTTCAGTTGAAAAGCGGGGGAACGATATGAATAGGCTGTTCCAAAAAGAGCAAATATACATAGCCAGCAAATATTTTAAAATTCTCATTCACTAGTAGTGAAGGGATGTAAATTAACGTTTACATTTATTGCTGGTTGGGATCTGGAAAAATGATACTCTTACCTGTATTAGGTATATGAAATATTAAGAGTCTTTTAGAAGAGCAACTGAGCAACCTACATTAAAACTTTTAAATACATATTTCACTCAACCCACTTCTGGGAGTACAGTCTATGGAAATGTAAGTACTTTCAGGTCAGGTCGTGTACATGATGAGGCTTATTTCCATGTTGTTTGTAGTGGGAAAAATAAAACAAAACTTGAAAACAGAACGAATATTCATCTATGTGGATGATTAAATAAATTTGAGAATATCTACATTTTGGAAAATCATGTATAAGGTTAAAAAAAAAAAGAGACAAAGTAGTACATTCTTTGGCCCAGAGAAATATTTCCCCTGGGTATTGTTGAATGAGAAAAGCAAATAGCAGAATGATTACATTTTTCTGAAACCGTGACCGCCCTTCTTCTTCTTCTTCTTCTTCTTTTTTTTGGCTTGCGCTGCACGGCTTGTGGGATCTTAGTTCCCCAAACAGAGATTGAACCCACCCCTCAGCAGTGAAAGCACAGAGTCCTAACCACTGGACTGCCGGGGAATTCCCTATGACCACCGTTCTTTATGTATATCTGTTTACGTGTCTGTAAGCGCTCTCTAGCTTCATAGGAGTAGTGATAAAGATATAAAGGAACTATCCTGGGCTGGCCAATGGTTGAGGCTGGGACAGAATAAGGAACAGGGTTAGAGTGAGTGGGGTCATGTGAGTGGTGGGAGTGCAGAGGAGGGACTAGGCAGGACTAAAGGCATGAAAGATTGCCCTTAAGAAGAAGTTCAAAATATAACATCTATGCATCTGCATAAGATTAAATACATGTAAAGGTATATGTTTAAAGAAACTTTTGACAAATTCATTTAAAGAGTAACTGCTCTTTCTGTTAAAGACATGAATTAGTTCAATCTGATAATTCTTCAGTTATTTGGTGGTAGATACTATTACTTGTTCTTACCCAAATGTGGAAGGGGTGGCTATTGTGTCTTATTGGGTTCGTGTTTATGGAATAGGCTAGACTTGAATATAGATAGAGTCAGTAATAACTATAGAAAACTACTTCAAGGGGTTAAGGACGCCTTCCTAGCTCTGTAAGTCTTCATTAAGTCCTGATGAGCCTTTTTCATTTGGGCTAAGCACTGGTCTCCTTTTCAAGTTTTCTTTTTAAAATGTAAGTAGTTCTGGAAGTCCTTTATTAGAGCCATTCCTCCATTCCATCCCCAAAAGCTAGTATGGGAAAAAAAAATGTATAGGGAGGAAAATAGGGTTCTGAACATGCATTGGAGTCTAACACAAAAGCTTCATATTTTGACTCTGCCTAGACCTGCTGATGCAGACTCTCCCAAGATTTGAGAAGCTTGAACACTGAGTTGCTTTCCAAAGACTGGGTATCCCTAAAAGAACACCTGCAATTACAGCGCTATTTCCAAAGATAGCAGTAAAAGTGCTGCTCTGGCCTGAGTCAACCAGCTGTTGTGGCCAAGCTGCCCCAGGAGAGATGCTGATGTCCTATTCTGCTCTTTCTGGAAGCAGTTGTTATCTCCTGATACTCTGAAGTCCTAGAAATGGCTTCTGAACTTTGCAGCAGTAAGTAAAATAAAAGAGAGGGAACTATAGGTGACGTACAGCTTTCTCCCATGCCCATGTCTCATGTTTTGTTAGGGTAACAGCCCTGGAATACCCATGTGATAATTGCGGCTCACCAATAAATCCTAAGTGTAAGTTACGTACCTAAGGCCCTGAGCTATAATAAAATTTTAGTGCATTTCAAACTTACAGCCGGTTTCAGACTATCCCGTTGAGTTGCCTGAGCCTTTTGATTCTGCTTTAGCCTACCTTTTTTTTTTACTGTTCATCACAAAACTTTAATATTGTCAAACTAAGACAAACATCCAGGAAGCAAGTATCTTTTGAATTCTAAGACAGTCCTAAGTGAAAACTCTGCTCCTAATACAAAATTTAAAAATGAACCAGGCTGTCATTTAGCTTCTTTACAAATAAACAGGATACTCAGGTAAAAAATAGACTACTGTTGATAGCAATCAGTATTACAACAAAAGGAGATGAGTTTCCTGTAGTTTCCAGGTGTCTTCATGATTAAAATAAATGACTCCTTCAGGCACATGAAATCCCAGTTTTAGTTTTTCTTCTGCTCTAGGATCCTTCCCCATGTTGCTGTCTCCCAGGAAGCCATGGTAAGCCTGTATCTCCAGCAGGCTGTGGGTTGTTGGCCTTGGAGGACACACATTCATCTCTTCCCATGGTGTCCTGAATGTTCTGCTCCTGGGGCTGGGTCAGCTGCTGGGGCTTATCCTTAGGAAGATCCAACTCTTGTGGCATCTCTGCCTCAGCCTCATGGAATAGCAGCTTACCCTGAAGGGTGTGTAGCAGGTGGAGGAAGGTCTGGTGCCTCTGCAGCTTGTACTGCTCCTGCCCTGCCTGCTGCTTCAGGGTTCCAAGTTCCTGATATAGCTGTTCAAGCTCCTGCTGAGTTCCTGTCTGACGCTCCCTCACCTCTGAAGACACCACTGCCAGATGCTGCAGACGCTTCTCCTGTTGTAGCTGCCACTGCTTCTGGACTCTGCTGAGTTTTTCCATGGCCATTTGCTTCTTGGCCTGGAGTTGTTCAAGGGCCTCCCGGAGCTTGGCCTGCTTCCTTTGGGCCTCCTCCACCTTGGGCAGTGCCTGGGTCAGGGAACTTGTGATGGCCTCCACGTGCTCTTGGTAGGTGGCCTTCAGCTCTTTCCATTGCTCTTTGATTTCAATTGCCTTCTGCCGGCTCGTGTCTTCAGAAGCCAAGGGGTTCAGGTCCTGGGCAGTGCCTTCCTGAACCAAGAAATTCTACGGGAAGTCTACTACTTGAAGCTGGCTGCAGAGGAGCTTGTCTTTCTTCCGGGAGTCCATCACAAACTCAGCCAGGATCTGCACGGGCAGTTCTGCCTCCTCCTGAAGACCTATAGGCTCCAGGATGTCTGCCACCTTGGCCAGGGCCTCTCGGGCAGCAGCCTCCGCCTTAGTCTCTGCCGCCGCCATCCTTCCCCGGGCCGCGCTTCAGCTCTAGCCTACCTTTTGACAGATTTATTTCTTGTTACTCTCTCCCCTGGTAGGCAATTCTCATGTGTCCATTTTGCTATTTGTAAGTAGGTGGTGTGGCTCCTGAAGTTAAAATATATTGAAAATCAAATTTTCTAAAATTGCAGTTTTTCAGTTCTCAGAATGTTTGTTCCTGATTTTCATGGGTATAATGACTCATGCCTAGTCTCCCTTCAGATGCCATTATTTAATTTAGTAAAATAACCTGAGTAAGTTTAATCTCAGAAGAGCTACGTGACAGAATTTGAAAGCTAGCAGAGACAGGACTGAAATACCTCCTCCTCAATGAAGTGTTTTCCCTAAGTAAACTGTTTGGTTCTTTGAGATATTTATTTTCCGTATTATGAACTCAAGCTTTGGAAAGGCAGCTAGTTTTAGGAATATTTAGAGGGCTAGACTGACATTGTCTAATGGCTGTTTGGTGTTGGGGGAGACAGCATGGAATTTTGAACTGTGAGTTGAAGGTAACGTTTATCAGAACCACTGGAACATGTTTGGAAAGACCTGAGAAGTTAATAAAGATTTAATGTCAGCTCTTATGAAAACAGCTTAACATATTGTTATGAACGCTATTTCTTTTTTAACTACCTTCACCATTACTATTGTACCCCAGGCCTAAATCATCACGGGGTAGGAATCAAAGGTGAATATATGGTTTTGCCCAGGAAAGTTTTATTTCACCTATGGAATAGCCCAACCGTTGGCCATACTAACTGGTTTCTCTGGTATTTGTAGGGGATCGATGACATCACTGGTGAACCATTGGTACAGCAGGAGGATGACAAACCTGAAGCAGTTGCTGCCAGACTAAGACAGTACAAGGATGTGGCAAAACCAGTCATTGAATTATACAAGTGAGTGTGCTTCAGTGTTTCCATGGCAGATGGCCAGCCAGCAAGGTGTGGCTCCTCATGGGAAGGACATTGGGCTGCAGTGGGGTAGTGTTTCTTTAAGCTTGATAAACCCAAAAGGCCCAGTACCTCTCAGATGAAAGTCAGATGAAATGCTGGCATTGTACGTGGGAGAGAATGCCTGGTACTTTTATGCTGAAACTCTTATAAGGACCAAAACCTGATCATCTCTGTCTGCTTGACTGTAAAACTGCATCTAGACTTTTCATTTTTCTCTTAAGGGACTGAAATAATGGCTTACGTTTTGATACTCCCATATGTAAATATCTGACTTGGATAGAAGATTAGAAGGGACTTTTGGCCCCCACACGTCTGGAGAGTGTTTAAACAAAGAAGAGCTAAAACTACAGATTGCAAATTCACATGGCTCCAGAGGCCAGGCAGTTACTGGAAATGAGTGTCAAACCTGGTGGGGGCCTTGTCAAGCTGGGCTGTTGAGTGACAGTTGAACTGGACAGCTTCCTCTGTTTCTCCAGCCAGTTATCACCCCAGGGACACTCAGGCTCAGTGTGACCAGTGATCCCTGTTTTTCAAGAGAAGCAGAAATCAGGCTCTCTCTGTGGAAGAAAATCCCAATTTTTATTATTTTATTTTATTTTTTTACACAACATTTACAGCTTTATTGATAGGGTATAGCCATTATGCAAAATTCAGCCATCATTATACAACCTCATTTCCCATCTAAAATAAATGAGAATATATTTTACTTTAAATGGGACATACTGGCAAAGTGCCAAGAATTAAAGACTAACCTTAAAGTCCTAATTTCATACTTCAAATATCACAAAAAGCTGTGATTCCCAAAACCATGAAAGCATAATGAAATAACTACACAGAGAAAAAGGACATTTAACTCATTTCATGCTTTCTTAATTTTATATAGTGAAAACGGACATATTTATAACTTCAGCATACTTCATAAAATCATTATTCATCAGAAACACAAATATTTACAAAGAACATTTAACTTAAATTTCATAGTTGCTTATAAAAAGGCACTTGAAAGATTGACCTGTATAAAGAAATGAGTCTTGTCAAGAGATGGTAAACTATAAATATAAAATATACCACAATGTTAAAAACCTCATAGTGTTCTATAGGAAAATCTCTAAAGATAACTTAATCTTTCGGGGTAAAAAAGTATTTAGCATTACAGATTTAAAATGCAAATTTTATATATGAATTCAATAAGGAATACATTTAAACCCTACATTGCCACATAATCATCATCTATTTTGTGGAAAACAATAAAAATTATGTACTTTATGAACATGTGTACATCAAAACCAAAAGGTTAATTTTTACTTTTTCCTTTATTGGCAACTTTGATGCATTTTTTAGGTTTTGGTTCCCAGAGCGCGTTTTTTACAAATCTTGAAGCGACCCCCCGTCCAGCTTGCCAGCCTCTTTCTCGTCTGTTATGTCCTTGACTCTGTTCATGTATACTCCGATTCTTTCTAATTCTTGCTTTACTGGATGTTCCTTAGGATTGATTCCCTGAGTTGCCAAATAAACCCAAAACACTGAATGTAATGTGTAAGTAGAAACTAAATCCACTTTTCGCTCGTTCAAATGGGTCCAACTTCTGCAACAACGCAACTCATTTCTAGACACAGACGTCACGGTCTTCAGCGTCTCATCCACAGCACCAGTGGAATTCTCAAACGTTGATAAATACCATGACTTTCTACAGGATAGTCTTCATTAATTTCTTCGCCTGCCATTATGACCAACTCGCGGGCCTTCCACTCCTGCCTACCTGAAAGCAGTCAGCGGCGGTGACATCAATGGTGCACCGGCTCTCCCCAGTTTTTATATTGGCAACAAGTTAAAAAAATTTTAACCGCATGGAAGCCAAACAAACCCTATATGTGGACTGCATTCGGGACAGCAGTGTACAGCCTCTGCTATAATCAGTTTCTGACCTTGTACCCCCCGAATAAGTTAGCAACCCTGTAGATATGACGTTGCTGATCATATTATTAGGACACGTCTTATATTTCATGATCTATTGTTGTAAGTAATAAAGGTTTTAGAGTAGCAAGGATTGTCAGTGATTTGCTTTTTAATGTATATATTGAGGCAGATTTGGGGTTGTCCCTATAATGTTATTCTTGGATATGTTTTTATTTATTTTTTTTAAGGTTTTTTTTGTTTTTTGATGTGGACCATTTTTAAAGTCTTTATTGACTTTGTTACAATATTGCTTCTGTTTTACGTTTTGGTTTTTGTGCCCCGAAGCATGTGGGATCTTAGCTCCCCGACCAGGGATCAAACCTGCACCCCCCTGCATTGGAAGGCGAAGTCTTAACCACTGGACCGTCAGGGAAGTCCCCTTTAATATGGTTTTTTTTTTTTTTTTGGTACACGGGCCTCTCACTGTTGTGGCCTCTCCTGTTGCAGAGCACAGGCTCCGGACGCACAGGCTCAGTGGCCATGGCTCACGGGCCCAGCCACTCCGCAGCATGTGGGATCTTCCCGGACCGGGGCACGAACCCGTGTCCCCTGCATCAGCAGGCGGACTCTCAACCACTGCGCCACCAGGGAAGCCCCCCTTTAGTATGTTTTTAAAGGGGAGAAGGAAAGGTGGCACGATGGCAAGCTTGCCGGAATTGCTGGGGGTGTTGATACATTTGTAGGGGCTGTTTTGCCGCTCAGTGATGTGTGATATAGACAATGAGATTGTGCTTACCGTATGCCCAGGATCTTCTTCTGCTCTAATATCATGTCAAAAGGAAACCTAAAATGCTTTGTATGTTGGACTTTGTTTTTCAGGAGCCGAGGAGTACTCCACCAATTTTCTGGAACGGAGACTAACAAAATCTGGCCCTATGTTTACACACTTTTCTCGAACAAGATCACACCTATTCAGTCCAAAGAAGCCTACTGAGCCCTCCAGTGGAAGAACCAGGAAGATATGGTCATCCATTCAATTGTATGTGTAGTGTTGGTGCCATGTCCCAATTAGCAGCTAGCTGAGATAGCTTGCAGCATCTTTTCTAGTTTAAATGGTGAACTGCTATGAAAACTAATGAATAGAAAGAGTTAATGAAGAGGCTCTTCTCTGCCTTTCTAAAAGAGGGGCTACCTGCACATGTTTAAGACGTCCCTGCACATGTCTCAAGTCCTTCACAAGAAAGAAAGCAAGTACAGGCTGGATTTCAAGTGGTGTATAACCCAAGCTCTAGCTGATTTTCGACAGCCATGTTGTTGCCATAGTGGCCTTTTCACACGTGATGGTGGTGGTCCCTGGTTCTCCCCAGCCCCCAAAGGCTGTTGAATCATAGCACCAGGAGGCCTGAGAATGCCAAGGGCTGTAGCTGCCTTTGTCCCAGGTTCTCTGGTATGTGTCCTCCTGGTGACAGTGGGATTGAAGCTAAGCTCTCAGTGGTTGCTTCTCTGGCCTTGAGTCACTCTCCACAATTCATTTTTTCTCTTAGGAATGACGCCTTCTCTCTGCATCCATACTCCATAGAATCTCTCCTTTCCAGTCATCCTGGAATGAAAGGATTTGGCTTTTACTACTTTTATTAGACATCTGTTTTCTCCCTTCCTAGACTATTAAGTAATACAGATTGTTACTGCTTTTATCCCTCTCAAATTCCTTTCTAAGAGCTGAGAGCTAGGGGACTGTGTTGAATCTCTTTATGCACTAGGAACTGAGCTATGTGGAGGGTCTATTTAAACTGCTGGTCTGACTCTCATGGGTTGACACTGCTCCTTTCTTTTATTGTGGCAAAATAAAACCCTCAGAGTCTTTAGGGAACCCTGAAAAACTGGCAAATATTCACCTCCATAAATGTTAAAAGATCATATCATATCTTATGTATGGAAGTAAATAAGACCATATGGAATTACTGGACTAAATGAATAGTTTAGCTTTTTAGTCAAGACAAAAAAAATGTATTTTGAAAATGCTGCTAAATATTGATGCTGACAGTGTTTTTCTCCTGTGAGTGACCCAAGCATATTATAAATAGATGGTGAAGGGAATGGAGCCTGTGGGGTTGAGGAAAACGTTGCACTAGCCACGCCTAGACTGATGATGACAGGTTTACGATGATGGGATTTGACAAAAATCGTAATTTTTTATTCTATTCCAAAGATGCTTTCTATAGGGTGGCCATTAAGTCTAGAAATATAGATCATACCGTTTTGTCATTCACTGAAATGTAGTATCAGTAAACCATTTATTTAAGGATTTGCCTGGTTTCCAGACTTGGTGGCCATCTTTTATAATTCTTGTTCTCCTCTGGGAAGGACAATGAAATTTATTCCTGTTGCCTTAAAAATAGATATTCCTCTTCATGCATCGTGATTGTCCCCAGGGAGGGTCCTTTACTATCCCTGGGAGTGACTTTTGTCTAACTCTTCATACTGGTGAGAAAACAAAAGAAGCCTATTTCAGCATAGGTGGTGTTGAAACACATTATTTATTTTCCGAAGATGTCGCAGTGAATCCACAGTCAATTCACTGACCAATGGATTCTGTATGGTAGCCGTACATCTTCCTTACAAATACTGCCCCCCACTCTTGCCCGTCTCTCTCCCTTTGTCCCTTCATGTGAATGTTCTTTGGCTACCTTAGTGGAAACACAGACCAGTTTCCTCCTTATCCCCTGAATCAAAGTGAAAGAAGATTATTTACTTTTTAGGTTTATGCATTTAAAATGCCCAGTTCAGGTATTTGAAACATCAGTGCATGATAGTGACTTTTTAGAAGACTTGTGTTTGAATGCCAGTTGATAGGGACAGGGTGAAAATCAGACATGCAGATACAGCTCAGGTTTCCTGGGGAATCGGGCAAAGAAAAACAAGTCTGCTATGAGGAAAATTGCTTCTGCCATAGAGACAATTTCCACAAAGTGGGAAAAGTAGAAAGTTAAGGTTATTATATGGATCATTCAGAAGAGGAAAGTGTGTGCTTTTTTGGAAGCAGAAAAATCTTCAGACCTCTTTCTTCACTTCTTTCAATGTTTAGCAGATGTTCCAGTGTAACCACTGGCTTTGGAGTTTTTCAAAGAGGCATGGGAAACGGCCTAGGTGACCCCTGATTCCATATACTCTGCTCCTCCATCCTTCCCTCCCTTCTCCCTTCCAGCAAAATAGATGCTTAGTGCCAGTGTCAGAACCACTCAGTGTGTCTCAACACTGTGCTGTTTCTGAGGTTGCCCTGCAGTTGAGGGCAATCACCTTTGCTAGGTGAGACCAATAAAAGCCAAACACTGTTTCTGTGGGCTTTGAAAGATGATACTTGTTTCATGTTCAGTGGCCTAAAAAATCTGTTTCTGGTTTTCTTCAACAAAGTCTAGTTTTTCCTTCAGTGATTTTGTAAAAAAAATAAAATTTTCTTGAAAATATTTTGACAAAGGTCAAAGTAAAGGGATATCTTTCTTTAGTTTTCCTTCTACTGCCACACATGAGGTTCCATTACAGTTAGGCAAAAAGAGTAGTTTGGCTGGTTTCTAAGATTCCTACGTGGCCTCACCTTCTGTGACTCTAGCCAGCTCTGCGTTCAGTTTGCTTTCCACTATCCTGACCGGCTTCCCGCTTACTTGGAACTTGAAAATATTGCCGTGTTTAATACACTCTAACACTAAAGCAAGCATATAATAGGTACCATTTATCGAAGGCCTACTGAGTGCTATGTACAGTTTTAGGACCTTTACAAACATCTCATTTACTCTTTCCAGCATCCTTTGAGATAGGCACGATTCCATGTTTATAAACAAAGAAGGCGAGGGTCAGAAAAGTAAAGCATCTTGCCCTGCTCCTGCTGCCAGCGCACAGTGTAGTCAGGACTCAAAGCCAGGTTTTCCTGACTCTGCTCCTGGATGTTAACTACCTGCGTCCTGTCCCAAGCAAGGCAGGGCACTGAGCTGCTTGGTTTTGCTTATATTTCCAAGTGGCCTCATGTCAAAAATAGCAGAGTTCACTATGGTGACGTTCAGCTTTGTATGGGACTGTTCCCTTTTTTTTTTTTTTAACTTTTGCTTAAGCAAAGGAAGCTGCTAGAGGAGAGTCTGAGCCCTTGATCCTCCATAACTACTCATTTGTAAATAAAGTGAAAGGCTGTCAAAGTAGACTTGGGTCCAGGCTAATCTGTGGCAGAGGCAAGCTCAAGGTCTTCACCTACCCTTTCAGTGTCCATGGCATTGTGCCCCTGAAGGGACCTTTATGCTTGAGCCACCCCAGCCGTGGTGCTCACACACAGGCCTGGACTCCTGCGAATTCACCAGACACTACTCCCTTTGCTTCCCTGACATCAGAACAAATCCCTCCCTCACTCCCACCCCGAGACAAGGCCCTGATAGTAACTGATCTTCCCTAAAGGGCTAGCAGGTGAACAGATGGTGACTGAGCCCCTAATATAGGGTCATCCTTGACTTTCATACTATCTTCCCTGTATGACATTACACGTGAACATGATCCTGAATGCCAAATCCACACCTTTGTCCACCCTCTGGTGTGGTGGCAGTGCTTATCATGCACAGTTCCGGCAGAAATGGGATATTGGCTTCCTGTCTCACCTTCCTTCCACGGGGTCACTTCTGGCATCCTCCAGCAGCCCAGCTTCACCCAGGCTGTGCCCCTCTCTTTGGTAGGGAAGGGAAAAAGGTAAGAATAGGCATAGGTGACAGAGGATTCTTGGGAGAGAGGTGATGGTGTGGCCTTTTCTGCCATTACTAGGTTGTTGACAGGATAAATTTAGATAGAAAGATGCCTATATAAACCCATAAATAGGGTTTTTGTAAAATTTAGTTCACTGGGACCTGAGTTCAATATCTGACTTTGGCTATTTGTTTAAAGAGGTCTTACCATCTGCTGGGGGTGGGGAGTGTCTTTGCCCAAATCATAAAGTCAGCAGACTTCCAAATATATTAAGGTATCAGCATATTCTTGGTAGTTACTGTTTATTGGTACTCGGTGCTAAGTGTACTGCATCCATTGTGTAATTAAATCCTCCACAATTACCCTATGTAATAGATAGTATTATCTCAGTGATCTTGCCTCCTTGTATTTAAAAACTGAAATAATCCTGTCTACTTAACCTTTTCCTTTACCTATAGGGATTAATCAGGAAATTCAAAAAGGCCTTTTTTGTACATTGCTGTAGTTTGAGCTCCCTGTTCTCATGAATAGGTAAAACAATATATTTGCTCCCACCTGGAATCCTTGCTTTTGGCTCTGGTGCTGAGACAGGAAATGGGCACTGGGTGGGTCCTGGTGGTAGTTGCACACTGTATATACAGAGGGCATGTGTCTCATCTGTACTCTGCTGGGTCACAGGATCTCGGGAGGCATTCGTATCTACCTGATGAATTTCATTTCTTTTCATTTAATAGACGATATCTTTTCTCACTGCAGTAGTTTTACCAGAAAGGCAATTCATAAGACAGAGGTGTATTCGTAGTATGAATTGCTTTCTCTCTATTCTCCACCATTCTCAGTACTCCTTGTCTATTTGGTGTTTCAAAAGAAGAGCCCAGTAGCAGAGACTTCTTTGAATAAGGGAATGTGGTCTGGTCATAAGTTATCGTCCCTTTCCATAAATAACTGACCCAGTCTGGTTTCCAGATGAAAAGTGTGCAAGACCCAGGTGTCGGGGAACCATGAAGCTGTATTTCAACTATGAGGAAAAATCTGCTTCCTGCATCTGTTGAGACGTAATTACAAGTGTTGAGAAATGCCGTACCTTATCTTTTAACAAACTGCACAGTTCTTGCCAAAATAAATGCCATTATCTGTATGCTTCAGGGAATTCCCTAAATTGGTGTGTGTGTGTGTGTGTGTGTGTGTGTGTGTGTGAGAGAGAGAGAGAGAGAGAGAGAGAGAGAGAATATTCATTCCTTCTTTGGTGATAATTAGGCTATTCCAGAAAGCACAGTGTTAATTCTTGAAATAAAAGATTTTCTATTTAAACACATGTCAAAGAGCAGCGCACCTTAAAGATTCTCCCTGGGGTTGATGTGTGTCTAACTTCGTTTCATAAAACCTTTCTCTTCTTCATTTAAAACTTTGGATATAAAGTCAGAAATGTGTTAAATAAAAACAATGTTTTGTGTTTAATTTAGAGAAGAATAAAGGGAAGAAAAACAAAAACTCAGTCTTTATGTAAGCTACAGGGTGTCAGGGCTTAGAGGGCTTTTCTAGTTTTATGAGAATTTATACTACTGATTTTTATATGTTCTTGTTTTTGAGATGAATAGATCTCGGGAAATTGTTGAGTTACAGAGACATTTCACTATGATCCCTCTCAAGCTTAAATCAGTTCTCTAACCTAATGACAACTTGTCTCTGGTTTACTGTCCTGTGAGATGTCAGCTCCATTTTCCCAGAAGTCATGTGTTTACGATGAGTCAGTGCTTTTCCTCAGTGTGAAAGTTGTCGCCCCTCTTGATTTCGGTGTATGTGCTTAATTCAAAGATTCTAAACCTGTAGTCTAATCTGTACATGCTCTCTTAACTGTTAATTGTGTTGTTGATTTTATCTTGCTTGAAGATTGATTCATACTTTTTAATTTGATAGAAATAAAGTTTTTTTTTTCCGCTTATAACTAGTGAGTTCCTTTAACATTTCTGTAGCTTTTTACACTTGGGAAAATACACATCTTCACAGAGATTCTCATTTATGCCACTGTGCAGCCACCCCATCGTCAACAGTGTTTTCTACAATTTGTAGATGGGGAAAACAAGGAACATGGTGTTCGCTGGATAAGGTGACAGTTGGTGGCAGAGTGAGACCCTGAAACCAAGAGTTATGACCCCCAGTCTCATTTTCTTGTCTGTTCATCATGTTGCCTTACTTTGTTTACCCTCAAGCTCCTTATTTTCCAGCACTTTATTAACATATTTTCATGGACCTTCTTTTTTTTTTTTTTTTTTTTTTTTTTTGCGGTACACGGGCCTCTCACTGTTGTGGCCTCTTCCATTGTGGAGAACAGGCTCTGGACGCACAGGCTTAGCGGCCATGGCTTACGGGCCTAGCCACTCCGTGGCATGTGGGATCTTCCTGGACCAGGGCACGAACCCGTGTCCCCTGCATCGGCAGGCGGAATCTCAACCACTGCGCCACCAGGGAAGCCCCATGGACCTTCTTTAGTTTATTCTTAAAACAGCTGGATGATGTGAGCAGATCCCATCATCACATCCTACACAGATCACATCCTACAGATTAGGAGACTGGATCAGAATACGTGGAATACGTGACTCTAAGGTCCTAGAGTCCTGGCTTACTCAGCAGAAGCAGAACCCCCAGGCCTGTCTGGTGGGAGCTCGAGGCATGGAGGAAATACAGCCTCTGCAGGAGAAGCTCCCGGTGGCAGGGAGAGGGGCAAATGCCCTGGCTTCTCCCAACCTCATCTTCTCCTGTCTCCTTTATAAAGGGGCCTTCCATTAGCTGCAGCCGGTCAGAAGCCAGCTAACACAGGAGCCTGGGGAGCGCGTTCTCCAGGCTTCCATGGCCCTGAAAGGTGAACTGGACATGATGGCAATGTGGGAGATTGTTTTAAAGTTCAAACCATTCACCTTTCAGGAGGATTTTACATCTCTGCCCCATGGGCTTCATGCTTGGGTATGTGATGTGCTTTAGCCACTGGACTGTGAACAGAAATGAAGGTGCCGCTTCTGAGCAGAAGCCTTAGGAGCCAGAGCATGGGCACCCATCTCTGTAAGGAGACTGGCAGCCTCATGGGGCTTTTCTTTTACCTGAATCCTGAGGTAGAGACTTGGAGCAGGGATGCAGCCAATCCATGATGGATGGGTAGTGTGCATGAAAAACCTTTATTTTTATAAAAGCCACTAAGATTTGGGTGGAGTTTGGTACCATAGCATAATTCATCCCAAGCTGACTGATAGAAATGGGTCCAAGATGAATATGTCATCCAGTTATAACTTTCTCTTATCAACACTATTAGGCTGTGGGGCTGCAAAGATGAATAAGACCCAGTTTTTGTCCTTGACTTCCTTACAGTCTCCTGGAGGGGATGGACACGATTAAATAACTACACATAACTGTTGGAGTTAATCACTGGGTTACACTTGACAGAATATAGGTGGAGTGACTCTTGGCTGGCTAAGTAGAGACCAAGGGAGAGTTAATATTTGAGCTGAGTGATGCAGGAAAGAGGGAACACAGGCCAAGGGGATGGGATGTGTATCGAAGTATAAGCATGTAAGCCAGGTGGAGGCCAGGACTGGGGAGATAAATGTAAGATCAAGTTGTATTGACCTGGTCTTAAAATTTGCAATAGACAGTACAGACTCTGCTGGGAAGTGACTTATCCGATTTGCATGATAAAATTGTAATTGTACTACAGGTCTGAACTAAGAGGTAGGGTTCCCCAAAAAGGAATGGTTGGATTATAACGAATGCCTCCAGAGGAGAGTTTAATGCCTCCAAGGGAGAAGTCAGGAACAAAAATGAGTGAACCAAGAGTGAGGGGAGGTGGTGTGGGGGACCCTGCTTTTGCTGAAAGGGGAGCCACTGTGTGAAACCTTTTTTTTAAATTAATTTTTATTGGAGTAGAGTTGCCTTACAATGTCGTGTTAGCTCCTACTGCACAGCAAAATGAATCAGCCATACATAGACATATATTCCCTTGAAATCTTATTTTTAAACGTTGGCAATTTAAACGTTAGAAAGCATTGCACGGGCCAAACAGCATATCATTTTAAGCTGGTGTGGGACTGCTGGATCAGAGGCACTCAGGAGATAGGAATGAGGGTCTTAGTCTAGATATCTATGAAGTGAGGGGGTAGGATATGTAAGGGTAAGGCACTATGAAGGGGATGATTTTCTGATTTGGATGACCAAAAGAAATGCATAGTTATATAGAATTTTGCTTTATCAGAGAGCACCACCTGCTTAAATAAATCACTTGAGTTTTTTCTCCCAGAGTTCAACTGGGTATGATTTTCCCCATATATTCTCCCCGTTTCAGCCACTGAATACGTAAGCAACCAATAATTAAATGAAAACCATACCCATACTTGAGGGAACCTTCCTAAACTAGTTATGTTGTATATGCATTTTATATATGTGTGTGTAAATAGAATTATATATGTATATGTGTGTACATATATGCCTGTGTTACAGAAGATAACATTTACAGTTTACTGAAGGTTTACTCTGTGGTGACAGGCAATGGGCCAAGCATTGTATACCAGTTATAGATGATGAACCTCAGGCTTAGAGAAATTGAATAATTTGCTCAAGACCACCTACTCAGTAAGTAGTAGAATGAAGACTTCAACTCCAGTGCTCACTTACGATTATTCAGCTGTTCTTCCTCATTCTGACTCTTACTACCCAAAGACCCAGAAGGACCACAATTAAAGGTCCTGCAATCAAGGCATCTTTGGCCTTGGGCAGGACTTGCAGGAGTCAGGGTGGAGAGCCTTGCCACTTGGAGGTGACTAGGATCTGAGCAGTGTTGAGTTTCTCCTGTGACCAGCTTTTCTCCTAGTCAGGATCCTAGCACCAGTCCCTTTAACAAGGCAAGAAGACCTCCCATGGAGAGGTCTTGCACCCCCCCATTCTAAGTCCATGCACCCTGAGAAAATGATTCCCTGCCGAGGAGGAATCAGGGATACAAAAAGGAGTGGTGCATATCCAGATTAGTCAAGACAGATCAGCCACTCTCTTCACAGTAACGCCCCAAATACACTGACCACTGTAGATCCACTATGTTATATTCCATCAACCACCCTGGGTGCACTGACCATCTCAGACTACTCTGGACATGTTGACCTCCAAGATGTACCCTGGGCACATTGATCATACGCACTCAGCACAATATGGAAGCCTTCTATCAGCCCAGCAGGGTCAGGGAGAAGCGGGTACAGGCTAACATTGCTTAAAGACCTGACTGAGCCATCTTCCATATTTTATCTGTATATAAAAAAAAAAACTGCTGTTTCCGCCATATGAAGCCAATAAAACAGCCCAATTATTTAGTGTTCATATGAAAACCTTACCTAAAAATTTATAAATGTTGGTATTTATCAATAGAGGTTAGATGGTGAGGGTTCTTTGAAGATGACATGCCTCAATCTTACCGTTTCTACATGTCTTCCCCAAACTATAGAGATCAAGGAAAGCAAACAAAATAACAATTAACTCACCACATAACACAATTAAATCTACCACATAACCAGGAAACGGAAGACTGCGAACTCTCATTGCATTTGAGTGGAGAAATAAATATCTGTAATTAGTAGCATGGAGCCCATGTGGAAATGGAGAGTGAGGCAGGGATTATTTGGAAAAAGGAGAGTGCAGTGGCATCCCAGAGAGTCCCACACTAAGTGGAAAAATACTGAGAACAGCCATGCTGGATTAGAGACCTCACTAATGGGGGAAGGAAGGGGCTTGAAGGTACATGGGGCTAAATGTTTCTGAACATGTATGAAGAGGTGTAGCTTCTGGGAGAGAAAAAGGAGCTTGGAAGGAGGAGATATCTCTCGGAGAGTTAGTGACAAAGAGGGAAGAATAAAGAAGTTGGTGGAAATTTAGTTTTTCTAAACTCTCCCTAACCATCCTCCCTTATCCCACAGAGCCTCTTCGTTAAAGAAATTGTATTTCACTGTACCAACTGAAGAGGGGACTCTTGAACTAAGAAACTAGTAAGTCACTCAAATCCTTCAACCCTATCCGTAGAAACATCTGGTCCATCCAGAAAAATCCAAAAGTCTTGAAAATGAACAGGTGAAAGCAGCCAACATCCACACAAAGTCACTTCCAAAAGGAAATAGAGAATCAAAAATCTTCAGCTGAAAAACACCCAAGACCCAACCTTCAACCAGAAGACACTGTAGTACAACACTCCAACATGAATCATATATTGTTAGACAAGGCATAAAGTTGTGAAAAAACATCACAAATCAGTAATTCACAAATGCAAAAGAGAAGTGGGCACAAAAAGAGGTGTGGAATAAGAATTGACTGAATGCAGGAAAGAAAGTGATTGAAATGACAATGATCTCCAAAATGAGGACTAAATTACAAGATGTACAAGAGGGAATAGATTCAACAAAGTATACGAAGGAGATATGGAAAAGTGAAATGAAAATTTCCATGAGGATGAAACAAAATAAGGAAAAGTGAAAAGCTCAAAGAAAATAATGGCTATAGAAGATAGACAAAGAAGACCTCATACACCTATAACTGATTCTGTAAAGAAGAAAAGCAAATAATAAAGCCAATGTTTAAAGCTATAATTCAATAAAAACTTACCAATAAATAAATAAATCCTGAATCTATATATTGAAAAGGACACTGTATATTGAAAGCTACACCATGGCACTTTGAAAATTGACTCAGAATAGTCAACTTTAAGACATATTTTTTTTACATCTTTATTAGAGTATAATTGCTTTAAAATGGTGTGTTAGTTTCTGCTTTATAACAAAGTGAATCAGTTATACATATACATATGTTCCCATATCTCTTCCCTCTTGCGTCTCCCTCCCTCCCACCCTCCCTATCCCACCCCTCCAGGCGGTCGCAAAGCACTGAGCTGATCTCCCTAAGACATATTCTTGTATGTCCAGG